CCCGTGGCTGCCTCTGGCCTCCGGGGTGCGGGCTGCGGGTTGTCCTGCCTGCCAGCTTGCTACCCAGGGTGGGCTCTCACCGAGCTAATTGCCTCCCCTCACAGGCTCCGCCCCCTGCCATCCCCCGACTTGCCCGCAGGACCAATCGCAACAATGGATTAGTCCCGCCCCTTGATTTCCCCAGGGCCAATCGCCTTCTCCGGAGGAACCGAGCGGTAACCCCGCCCCTCTTTTGCGGCAAAGCCATAGCCAAAGTTTATCCATTTACAAGGTTTCTCCAGATGATGCGTAGCCTTTGCCCAGGCTCCCACCCCCGGCCTCCGCGAAATCAAAATTATTCAGAAGCCGCATCTTACCTGCGCTACTGACGCCCACGAATAAATGAGTATAAACAAGCCAACGATAGAGTTTCTGTTGTCTGCCTTATCCTAAAAGCAGGGCTGCTGAGAAATGGCCTCCCACTCAGGCAGTACTTACACATCACAGGATCAGTAAACACTTCAGAGGTCATCAGCTGACTCTACCCCCGCACTGGGTTTTGTTTGCCTGTTGTCTCACATACAGGGTCTCTGCCCTTGGAGGCTGAACAAATTCTAGCGACTGGGACACTGGGACGCACTGGCTCTTAGGGCCGCTGCTTGGCTTTGTGGCCTCCCAGCCTGAAGCTAAGTGAAACCTGCCCACTGGCAATTTCTGCCCCTTTAAGGCACTGTAAGGCCAGCCTTGCCCCGCCTCCCCAGGGTCCAACAATTTGAAGACAATTCTCCCGGCTCACTGTTTCCTCCGGGTTCTGCTGCACCAAGGCATGGAGTCAAAGCTCTTCTCTAAATCTATTGTGAGTCAATTTTTGTGTATCTTTTCAAAGTGGAAGGCCGAATTGAGTCTATCCCACCCACCACTTCTCTCTAGAGTACAGACCCATGAGCGCAGAGCAGACTTGGATAGGCCTGGTCCTTGTTTAGACACTTGACTTTTCTGCTCCAGCTCCCAAAGGTGGCATTCACTTTCTTGACTTGCCGTATCACAAGCTGACTCTTATTAGGTTTACTGTCAACACACCCCTGGATGATTTCTCACTATGGCTGCAGTCCCAGGGCTCCACTTTCCACTTGATTACTGGCTAAATTTCATTATTTGTACAGGGGAATGTGGTGCTAATTTCTCTGTCCTGTCAAGACCTCTTTGCCGGCTCAATATGCCCTAATACATCTCCATCCCCGCCTGCCACCACCGCCTTTGCTTAGACCCTCATCCGGTTTGCACCACAACTGCTAAAGAGCCTCCTAACTGGCCACCATGCCTGTAGGCTTTCACCCTCCTGGCTGGCTTCCCAACACTCCGCTCCTCATCCATTTTATACCAGAAGCTGGCATGGGTTCCCAAACACAAATATAATCATGTTATCACATTCCAACTTAAAAGTCCACCCTAGCACCCAGTCTGTTTTCTATTCCCTCCCTTCATCCCGTGGCTTTCAGGATAAGATTGAAAACCTCATGCCGTAGCCATATAAAATCCTTAGTGACCTGGCCTCACCTGCCCCGTCTCATTTCCACCACAGAGCACTCCATACTTCAGGTAAACTGAACTTTATGTGTTTCTTAAATGCCCCCATGGTCTCTGACACATCCATGCCTTTTGTATAAAGTCTGGAATAGATTTCTCCCTACCCCCCTAGACCTGACCCATGATGCACTGATGTATTTTCTTCATTTATTGAACAAATATGTCATGAATACCCACTATGTGTCAAGGATTGGAAGTATAAAAACGTGTAAGATTTGGGGTCCAGAGAGTGGTGTAGCTAGCGGTAAAACATGATGCTCTGTGAAACTGACCCACTGGAAGGCTCCAGGTTTGTATCCAGACACTTTCTTTTTCTTTTTCTTTTCTTTTTTTTTTTTTTTTTTTTAGAGATTTTTGCTATAGGGCACATGCACTCACCAGAAAGACAGAGAGAGACAGAAAGCGAGAAATCACTCCCAGGGGGGATGGCCACGCCGCAATTCCTTCTTCTCCATTCTCCTCTCAGGATCTTGGGCATGCACACACACATGACTGGCATGAGTTTTAAGCCACCAGGTCCAGGACTCGAACCATGGTCGACTACATGGGAGTTCAGCGACATAGCCATTACGCCAACTGCTGGTCCTGATCCAGATACTTTGTATGCACTGTACCCCTCATCAGGATGGCTGAGGCTGAAGGTGGATCCTCCTGGGGGTGTTGTATCACTCTCTGTTTCTCTGTCTCTCTTGCTCATAGGGGGAAAAATGAACCTTAACAAAATTTAGAATAAAGAGAAAAGACAAATCATTTTTTAAAAGTGTAGGGCCACCCCATATCCTAGTGGTTAAAAGAGCCAGAGCTCACGTGGCCGACTACAGTTTCAGCCGCAGCCCTCCCGGCTTGAAAAACACACTGGGTATGTGTGCATGAGTGTCTCAAATCCTGACAGGCATGGGGAATGGAGAAGAAGGGATCATAGCAGGACCACGCCCCACTGGGGAGTGCTTGCTCCCTCTCTTTTTGTCTCTCTGTTTCTCTCTGGCAAGAGTACGAACCCTCTGGCAATTAAACAAATGTGTAAGAATTGATCTTTCCATCAGGTGCTCCCAAATGGAGTGTAAAGATCCTGCTTCCATTCACATTGACCCAAAGACGTCCCAGCACCTAATTGCAATGATTGCTTTGGACCGCAGAGCCATCTGAATGAAGGAAGGGTTAGGATAAACTGAAGCTGAGAGTTTTCCCTCTTACTAAATATCATTAAATGATGTTCAAAACCATCCCATTAAGGTTGGCAGTTTGAAGGCCAGAGGTAATAGCTGCCCCCCACTTTTTTGGGAGGCTTTTGTCTTAGGGCGTGTGTGCTTAGCTCCCTAGCCTCTGAAAGTATGCTTTGTTCTGACTGTTAAAATATAAGGCTTGGGGTACCAGCAGATGGCATAATGGTTATATTGCTGGACTCCCATGTGTTCAACCACGGTTTGAATCCAGGACTCGGTGGCTTAAACTCACACCAGGCACATATGTGCATGTGCCCCAAATCCCAAGAGAGTCTGGAAGAGAAGAGATTGTGGCCTGGTCATCCCCCCTGGGGAGAGATTTCTCACTTTCCGTTTCTCTGTCTCTCTGGCGAGTACACATGCCCTATAGCAAAAATCTCCCTCAAAAAAAATTAATAATAATAAGGCTAGGGGCCAGCAGGTTACAGTATGGTGCTCAGAGCACTGGACTCCCACAGGGTTAACCACAGTTCAAGTCCTAGACATGGCGGCTTAATTTCTCACTTTCTCTCTCTCTCTCTCTCTCTCTCTCTCTTATGTGTCCTATAGCAAAATTTGAAAATAATAATAAATAATAAATAAAATGAATTAAGTAATTTTCTAAACAAATATATAAAGCTCTACACAGCAAAGGTCACCAACACTGGGGTAATGTGAAGGACACCCAGAATGCTTCTCTGTCCATTTTTTCCCCTCCTGGATTAGATGTATCCTCAGGACCTACTCTTCTAAAATGCAAGTCCCACCTAGAAGAGTCATATGTTAACAGTTATTAGCTATTAACATCTGGCATAAGGAGAAAGCAGCATAACTTACTAAAGGGAAAAACATTTTTTAAAGGTACTTACACCAAATTGTAGTTTTCAAAGTATTTTCACTTATTGTCATATTCCATTGTCATAATAACCTGAGTAAATATCTTTTTATTTTTTTAGAGAGAGGTTTTGCTATAGGACACGTGCACTCGCCAGAAAGAGAGAGACAGAGAGGCAGAAAGTGAGAAATAACCCCCATCCCCCCCAGGGAAGATGGCTATGCCACAATCCTTCTTCTCCGTTCTCCTCTCAGGATCTTGGGCATGCACGCACACACGCCTGGTGTGAGTTTAATCCACCAGGTCCAGGACTTGAACTGCGGTTGACAACTGCACTTCCCAGAGACACAGAGAGAGACAGAGATACAGAAAGTGAGAAATCACCCCCCATGGGGGTGGCCACACTGCAATCCCTTCTCCATTCTCCTCTCGGGATCTTGGGCACGCACGGACATGGGCCCGGTGTGAGTTTTAAGCCACCGGGTCTGGGACTAGAACCATGGTCATCTACATGGGAGTCCAGTGACATAGCCATTACACTAACTGCTGGTCCCCTGAGTAAATATCTTGATTTCCATTTTACAAGGGAGGAAGCTCAGGACCAGCAGGTGGCATAGTGGTTAATGCGTTGGATTCCCACGTAATCAACCATGGTTTGAGTCCCGGACCTGGCAGCTTAAAACGCATGCTGGGGATGTATGTGTGCATGCCCAAGATCCTGACAAGAGAATGGAGAAAAAGGGATTGCAGCATGGCCATCTCCCTAGGGGATGATTTCTTGCTTTCTGTCTCTCTCTCTGGTGAGCACGAAAGACCTATAGCAAAAATTTCTCTCCCTCTCTCTCTCTCTCTTTCTCTCTCTCTGTCTCTATCTATATATAAAAGACCTGAGTTCCAAACTCTCCTACTCCCTAGGGCTCTAATACAACCACTTCAATTCTAATTTTAACTAAAAATTCTAACTCATTTGCCTTAATAATGTCTTCTCGTGTAAACATCCAAATCTGCAGTAACAGACTATTTGCTCATATTCAGAGAACAATTATTGCAATATATTACATAAAGAAATGTGTAGTGTGTCTCCTGCTTATTCCACGTAGCAAAGTGGGCAGATAAGAAATTGTAAACCTGCAGGCCAGAAGGTGGCATGGAGATTAAGCTGGCTGGATCTCACATGACCAGCCACACAGTTCCAGTCCTGAACCCAGTGGCTTAAAAAACATGCTAGGTGCAAGCCCAAAATCCCAAGAGGAGAAAGGGAGGAAAAG